GTCCTCCTCCTCCTCCTCCTCCTCGTCTCTGCATACCCACTCCCCCCCTAGCACTGATGATGTCACCTAGCTGGGTCATGAAACGTCTGCCAGAAAACCGCCAAGCCACCTCTTTCCCTTTTAACTGGGCGACTTCAGGTGCTGTTAAGGTAGTGAGATTTAAGCGCAGGCCAGTTGCTGTAAGGCTGATGCAACGAGGGTGAACCAGCGTCGGCGCTGCCTTTTTAAGACGACCTATGGGCCTGATCCCTCGCCGTGGGGCGGCCCAGCCACGCTAAGGCTAAGCTTACTCCCTGGGAGAATCTACTCAAGAGTCTCTACTCCGTTTAAGGTGATTCAGGGGAAGCCAGTCTGCCCAACCCCTCCCCACCCTCTAACCTTATGACCAGGCTGCTTCTCCACTTCCAACCAGGAGAACATCGGGGGCTTGGACCCAGCGTGACCAAGGTGCGGAGCCTGAAGATGGACAAGAAGGTCTGGACGGAGGAGCTGATTGAGGTAGGGGTCCCAAGTGGGGCGCACAGTGACCTTCCCTCCGCTGGCCGGGGTGGGTGTCCTCCCTCAGGTGGGGGGAGGGCTGTGTCAAGACCTGGGCTCTGCCTGTCCTGAAGGCTTCGGGGCCAAGAAGGGAGGCAAAGGGAGGCAAAGGAGGCACTTGGGTCTAGTGGTCAGAGTAACCAGGCTAAAAAGTGGGGAGGCTGTGAGTTCTAGTCCTGCCTTAGGCATGAAAGGCAGCTGGGAGACTTTGGGCCAATCACCAGGAGACTGTGAGTTCTAGTCCCGCCTTAGGCATGAAAGCTGATTGGGTGACTTTGGGCCAATCACCAGGAGACGGGGAGTTCTAGTCCCGCCTTAGGCATGAAAGCCAGCTGGGTGACTTTGGGCCAATCACCAGGAGACGGGGAGTTCTAGTCCCGCCTTAGGCATGAAACCCAGCTGGGTGACTTTGGGCCAATCACCAGGAGACGGGGAGTTCTAGTCCCGCCTTAGGCATGAAAGGCAGCTGGGAGACTTTGGGCCAATCACCAGGAGACGGGGAGTTCTAGTCCCGCCTTAGGCATGAAAGCCAGCTGGGTGACTTTGGGCCAATCACCAGGAGACGGGGAGTTCTAGTCCCGCCTTAGGCAAGAAAGGCAGCTGGGTGGGCCAATCACTGGAACTTGGTGAGTTCTAGTCCCGCCTTAGGCACGAAAGTTGGCTGGCTGACTTTGAGCCAGTCCCTCCCCCTCCACCCCCCCTCACAGGGTTGTTGTTATGGAGCAAAGAGGAGGAGGAGGAGGAGGCCAACGGAAGTTCCTTCCCCTTCTTTGACCAAAGGGCTGTCATGCCTGCGATGCACAGGCGCAGCCACGGTGGGGCAGCATTTCCCCCCAAAATACAGCTATGTAAATGGCAGACTGGGTGGAAACCGCATTTACGACGGTCGCAGCCTCACGTGATCCCCTTTTGTGACCTTCTGACAAGCAACGTCAAGGGGGAAAATCCTGGATTCACTTAACAACCAGCTTATTCATTTAATAATGACAGCAATTCACTTAACAACAAAAGGTTGTAAAATGGAGCAAAACTCACATAACACATTTCTCACTCAACCACATAAATACGGGGCTCAGTTGTGGTCATAAGTTGAGGACTATCCTGCATAAGGTTTCCTGCTTTGAGCAGGGGGGGTGGACTAGAAGACCTCCAGGGTCCCTTCCAGTTCTGTTAAATACGTGCCAGTTGCTTAGTGTCCAAATTTTTATCACCTGACCAGGGGGAAATGGTGCAATGGTCGTTAAGTGAGAAAAGAAAAAACCCTAGGCTCCTAAGTCACTTTTTTTTCAGTAGCCGCTGTAACTTTGAACCCTCACTAACCGAATTGTTGTAAGTTGTAAGTAGCTAATAGGGGAGCCATTGGTTGGGGTTCTGGGTGGGAATCTTCCTCCCTGGGGAATTTTAAGAAGAGACTGGACTGCCCTCTGGCAGAAATGGTGTAGTAGGATCTCCTGCTTGGACGGGGGGGGCGAGGGTTGGACTAGATGACCTTCAGGGTCCCTTCTGACTCTGTTAATCTGTTGCTTTATTTTGTGATTCTGAAATTGTGGGAGCTTCATCCCCGGAGGATTTTAAGAAGAGACTGGAGTCAGAAATGGTGTAGGGTCTCCTGCTTGGGGTGGGGGTGGGGGTGGGAGTTGGAGTAGATGACCTCCAGGGTCCCTTCCGACTCTGTTCCACTGCTAGAATCCCAAAGAAAGGAGATTCTGGAAGACCGACGGCCGTTCATCTCTCCTCCTTCTCTCCCTCCCAGCTCTTCCTCCAGATCGGCAACGCCGTGGCCAACCAGTTCTGGGCCGCCAACGTGCCCCCCAGCGAAACGATCACCCCCAAGAGCTCCAGCCAGGAGCGGCGGCATTTCCTGATCGCCAAATACCGGGAGGGCAAATACCGGCGGTATCACCCGCTCTTCGGCAACCAGGAGGAACTCAACAAGGTTGGTGGCTGGAGGATCCGGATTCAGGCGCTGGGAAACTGGCATGTACTTAGGTCGGTTGCAATGCCCCAGGATTGTGGGATCTCCTCTTTGGAAACCTTAGCCGGCAAGCAAAGCCCGTGGGAAAACAGATTCACTTCGTATCTCACCTAACCACTGCAGTGATTCACTAAAGGAAGGAAGGAAGAAAGGAAGGAAGGAAGGAAGGAAGGAATGAAGGGAGGGAGGGAGGGAGGGAGGGAGGGAGAAAGAGAAAGGATGGATGGATGGATGGAAGGAAGGAAAGGGAGACGGGAGGGTAACAGAGAGGAAGGAAGGAAGAAAAAGGAAAAGAAAGAGAAAGGAAAGAAGAAAAGGAGAGAAAAGGAAGGAGGGAAAGAAGGAAAGAAAAGGAGACAGAAGGAAGGAAGGAAGGAAGGAAGGAAGGAAGGGAGAGAGAAAGAGAAAGGATGGATGGATGGATGGATGGAAGGAAGGAAAAGGAGACAGGAGGGTAACAGAGAGGAAGGAAGGAAGAAAAAGGAAAAGAAAGAGAAAGGAAAGAAGAAAAGGAGAGAAAAGGAAGGAGGGAAAGAAGGAAGGAAAGAAGAAAAGGAGAGGGAAGGAAGCAAGGAAAGAAAGATGGAAGGAAGAGGAGGGAGGGGTAAGGAGAGGAAGGAAAGAAGGGGGTAGGTGGGAGGGTGAGGGAGAGGAAGGAAGGAAGAAGAAGGAAAAGAAAGAAAGGAAAGAAGAAAAGGAGAGAAAAGGAAAGAAGAAAAGGAGGGGGAAGGAAGGAAAAGATGGAAGGAAGAGGAGGGAGGGCGTGGGAGAGGAAGGAAGGAAGGAAAAGGAGGGGGAGAGAAAGAAGAGAGGAAGGGAAAAGGAAGGAATGAAGGAGAGAAAAGGGGAGAGGGAGTAGGAGGGAGGGAAGGAGGAAAGGAAGGAAGGAAGAAAAAGCAGA